TACAGTACCATTGCATGGGGATCGAAAGTTCTACAAGCAACGGCCATCCAAAAATTATATCAAAAACAGCGATTGACTTGTTTAAACATCACAGGAGCCATGCGAACAACACTAACCGCGGCAATGGAATTAATTAGTGGTCTGACCCCTCTGGATCTATACGTTAAGGAGGTTACGTTATTGGCCATGATACGATTGCGCGCGGCTGATGTAAACCCTGGTCTTATGAGGCTGAGCCTAAGGCGAGAATCGCTTACTGCGCTACTTCTGCTGAAGGCAACCAGTTATGCAATGAAACCCAGGTTTGTGTTCTATAAACCCTACAAAATACAAATAAAACAGAACACAGAGTCAGATGCTACAAATGCAATAGGCATTTATACAGACGGCTCAAAAATCAAAGAAGGCTCAGGATGTGGAGTGTACTCTAGATCACTGAGCCTAAGGATTTAGTGGGGAATGGGAAAAAATACCAGTGTGGTTCAAACACAACTGGCTGGTATCTCAATCGCCACGAAAAAAATAACCAGGAAAGGAATTTCTGATAGCCTTGAACAGACAACGTGTTATCTCAAGGCCAGTACTAGAGTGCCACCAAGATTCAGCCAAAGCCTCGGTAGATAATAACATAATCCTAAGGTGGGTTAAAGGAAACTCGCATTGCAATGTCAGGCATGTCCTATGCGAGTGTCCGGAGTTATCATCAATAATAGAGTGTGTTCGGCGAGTCTTCACCTACATCTGCCGATATAAAGGAGATGTTTGCAAGTGACCTCTCCACTTTCCTAGGAAGGATAGGATGGGCAATGACCTAGGAGGACAACTCCTTGGGAGGATGTACAATGGGTCACATGTGGCCTAAGTGTTGTGGGCCTACACTCACCCTCCCTTCTTTACAGGTACAGATGATATACGGGTAACATTTTGAATCATATGACCTTCAACGTACTTGATTACTGATCAGTTCACACTAGTTTGGGTATGAACTTATAGAAAATTCAGGTAATATAAACGAAACTACCTACCTATTGACGGATTGAAGTCCAAAAGGTGTAAACTTGAAATAAAGGGTAATCTGAAATGAAGTTATGTTTGAATGAATATTGAAGTAAAATATGAGAGGACCGGCGGCCACCTATATCAGTAACCAGGCTGGATGTTGACGGATTTGACGAGGTCGTCAGTTCTTTAAAATATATGAACATGTGTATTTGTGTAATTTAATCCAAAGCCCTCTAGAGGAGGAGGCGACCAGAAAAAAAAATTGTTTTTGTTGAAGAAAAAGCGAATGAAGAACTTGAGATAAGAGAATTGCCTAAAGCAAGAGAGCTGCGCCCCTGAACGAAGATTCTGTTCACGATGAATAGGAGGAGCCTAGCCAAATACACTCGAATGAGAAGCAACGGCCATAGAAGTTGAAGAGAGAGGAAACATTGTCAAACGAATAAAAAAAATGTGAAATGAATTTCATGAAGACTGGCAAAATTGTATTCCTAAATCGGCTGACAGAGAGTAGAGTACGAATGTTTTTCTCATTTGTTATCAACAGGAACATCAAAATATCAATTAATCAATTGATTCTCCAATTATTTATATTCACAATTCAAGATCTTCAGTGAAATATTGCAATAACTAACTGGTATTTTTACATGAGACAGTTTTTCCGTACGGTCACAGAGATTCAATAATTTTTGGAACCAATGAAGAAAAACTACCATTGATCGCAGCTGATTTCAGCAAAAAATTTTGCAAAAGATGAATCAATGCGGTTGATTACGTTTCTCAAAGAAAAATTTCAATTGCAAATCAACTAGAGAATCTACTACCAGATATGGAACAACAATACTCGTAGATGTTGTATTTATTTGGTTTGAAAATGAATGTATTGCTGCACTTACGTCACTATTCCTTGCTATATTCATATTTTACATAACCTTGCCAATACAAACAGTCATGTCCTGGAGATTATTTGCAAAATATCATCCACTGTTTCTTGAAATTATTACCTACATAATCAGAAGAAAACGCTAGATCAATGACGTTTGAAACAGTTTCATGTACCCTGAGCAGAGATGTCTGAATAGTGTAAGGGGAGCTCAAAAAGCAAAGTCAGATATTCATCCGTTTTTTCTACTGTAATCGAACGATATTCATGTGATCCAATCTGGATCTGGAAACTTCATGACGAATACAGTCTCATTCTTATGGTCAATTATTATTTTGCTTGAATGAGTCTAAGGGTGGAAAAAGAAAGTTTCAATGTTTCATTATAATCATTATTGTTATTAACGTTACTTATTTTGCCAAAAAAGTTGCAGTTGTTGGACCCTGTAGCCTGTATTCGATAAACTGGCAAAAATTGTGTGACGTAAATAGACACATTACCATTATTAATATCCTCATCATAATTATTATTATCATTCTATGGTTGTGCTGGTTGGGCTCTGTCCGTGAAATCCCGATACATTTAGGAGGGCGCCACAGCAATATCAACCAATGACCACTCTCCACACCATAGAGCAAGTGATCATTGGGTCCCAGACTCATGTGACCTAAGCAAGTGCAGTGAGCCAATACTGATAGCCTTGGGATTCGAAAGCAGAGAGGGCATCATTCCATCATTGACTCCAATAATCTGAACAATCATTTCAACTTGGTGTTCTGCATGGAGTCTTTTTCCGGACGATATTCTTCTCGCAAGGAGCAAAAAACTCCACGACAAATATCGTCTTGATCTGATGATCGAGAAGACCTACATCAGGCTTATTACTATGTATGCGTCTGAGGGTGGGAAACGGATAGTTTCAATAAATGCAGTACTTCTAATTCCCCACAAAGGATTCAATATCCCCCGGAGCGTAGGACAACACCAATATATCGTGAATACCGTAAAAGTGCCGTAGATTCAATAAAGCTCCCTCAGGCCGCGTTTTGTCGGAGGATATGAGCAGAGACTACATATGCTGAACACGCTCTGACAGAAAGTGCCTATCAGCAGGCCCAACACCTTGCCTGGAACCTCTTTCTCTATACCCATCACGTGACTACGGTAGATCGAGGTGTCAGAGACACTATCCTGGGAGGCCATGATATGCTCCTCAGTTTCCCTCTTCAGCTCACTAGACCTGAGGAAAGCAAAAGGCAGGCGCTTTGATAAGCCAATATTTTAAAAATTGTTGAAAAGGAACCTATGCGTTGGATTATCTTTGTGTTGCCGCAGGAGTGAACTGAGCTCTGCGGATGGACGGTAACGGAATTGTGATCACTTCGTTGTGGAGTGTTGAAAACGGAACCAAGTTCATCTGCCGCTCGAGCAGCTGCCCTGAAAAGTCAAGTGGGCAACTAAGTAGCACGAAACAAATATATGTGAGTCAGCCACTGGAGCCTATAACATAATGGATTCAGTCGAGTATTCACAGGAATCCATCCAGCTTTAAAAGTTGTACTTGAGCCATGTTGTTGAACCTTTGTAAACAGAAGGTTTTTCGACTGAGATAAATACGTAATCGAATCTGGAATATAGTCAAAAGTTGAACTTGATAGTCTTCAAGGTGAAACTTTACTCAATCTCCTATAATATTGAAATTTCAAATCTATGAGTTGCTTCAGTTACCCTACTTATGAAATATGGGGCTTGTTTCATTCGATTTGTCGAACTCTGTGTATTTTCTAATGGGTTGTCAGATTGGTGAATAATAATTAATATACAAATGCATGCGACTTTCATTTCTGAAGAAAATAACAATCTCACCATTCTTCGTTACAAAGTATTTCAAACGGTACTAATTCATTTTCTATTTGCTTCGTCCGACTTCATCTCAATTAAAATCATGAGCATGTTCTTTGTGTCGTTTATTGGAAATAACTTCCTTTGATAAATAAAACGGTAAAACTCACAAAGGACGAGACGAGTAAAATAAATTGAACTTTGCGAGTCAAGAGAATCATTTGTTCCATAGCAGTCCTGAACAACTACTTACATTTCCGATTCATTCAAAAAAACAAACGGAAAATCAAGAGAAATTTTTTTTAGATACGGGGTGAACCGCATTTGTAATTTTCACCTTCTCAATGTTCGACTCCTGCTTTGGATCCCTTTTCAAGAATCACTTGGAACTGTACTTACATGCTCTATGATTGCTGTGTTCAGCTCTAAGTTCGCACTGGTCACTTTGCTGTTCGGGGCCAAAATTAATATTGTTGGACAGGAATAGAGAGGTAGATGTATTGTGGCAGTCTCTGCGAATCATCTCATTTGTTAAAACAGTTGGGACGTTTTTCAATTTCAATTGCTTCACGAATTATTTTGGTCTGGAGATTTTCCTTCGTAGCAATGGTCTTGGTGTTTTCGAAACTTATTGTATGGTCTGTTTCCTGGTGCTATTTGAAGAGAGATGATGCTGGGTCTGATTTGTGAACAGCTAATCAATGTTCATAGGCTCTGTTGGAGAATTTTCTGTTGGTGTGGCCAATGAAAGTTCTGGGACAGTTAGAACTTGGTAATTCGTATATGCCCTGAGCTTCATTACGTATCGTGTCCTTGGGTGTTCTTAAAATAGTGGAGATTTGTTTGTTAGCAGTGAATACTGTCTTCACGTTATGTTTCTTCGAAATTTGTCTCACTTCGTCAGTAACTCCATGGATGTAAAAGAGAAAAGCTTTTGTCTGTCTGGTTGGTCTGTTCCTCGGTTAACTTGTGGGGTATAGGGTTTGTGTTTGCTGTCGTTGGATGGATCTTTGTATTTGAGAGACGAGATAGTCGTTTTGATGAAGGGCGATTTTGAATTCGTATAGTTTCCTGGATCTGTTGTGGTTGTCAGTGAGTCTTATTGAATGATGTATGAGAAAATTCAAACGGAATACCAAATTCCACATGATATGATCAACCTCATCAGCCACTGCATGCCCAGCACATATTTCCGTTACCAGGACAAATTCTACAAACAAGTGAAAGGCGCCTCAAAAGGTTCTTCTTTTCTCCAGTCCTTGCAAACCACTACATGGAGGACTTGAAAACCAGAGCCATCGACACGTCTCATCTCAAACCCACGTGTTGGCTCCGATACGTGGATGACGTCTTTGTTATATGGCTCCATGGATCTGAAGATTTCCATGCATTCCTGAACCACATCAACTCCTTATACCTTGACCTGAAGTTCACAATGGAAGTTGAAACTAATAACTCACTCCCTTTCTTAGACGTTCTCATCACAAAGTCCAACAACTCCTTCTCACAATTCTCGCACACGGTCAACCGAAAACCTACCCATATTAACCGCTACCTCAATGCTGACTCCCATTATCATCCTGCCCAGCTGGATTCCGATTTGAATTCCCTCATACATCGTTCTATAATACTCACTGACAACCACAATAGATCCAGGGAACTATACGTCCTGAAAGCCGTCCTTCACCAAAACGACTATCCCATCTCCCAAATACAAAGATCCATCCAACGACACCAAAAACAAACCCCACCCCAAGAGTTACCCGAGGAACCGATCAACCATACAGAAGCTTTTCTCCCCCACATCCATGGAGTTACTGCAAAGTGAGCCAAATTCTGAAGAAACATAACGTGAAGACAGTATTCACAGCTAACAACCTTACAATGTCCGTAAGTTATATAATGAATTTTCAAATTAATTTAGACATTATACCCTTATATATTTCAACAAAAATCGAAGTCCTCATTATAAGTTCAATATGATCGGTCGGTTCGACTTGGGTGCTTTGTTCACTCACTCAAAAATCGACCGCCGTGTTGGTCGGTGGTTCAAGCCGCAGGCTGAACGATCGATTTTCACTTGCTATCGTCCAACTCGTATTAGGAATCACACTTTCAAAGGTAAGACCTCCAATTTATTGAATGAGAAGTATTTAAAAACGTTATCGCTTTCGAATTCATTGCAACAATTGAAATAAAATAAAATAAAATCATGTGGTTACCGAAATTCGTTAAAATACACTCAAAACTTATTTCACGTTGAGGTTTTGATAATAAAAAAGGAAGCAAAAACCATAGCAAAGTTCGTTAATTTCAAATATGTCAAATGGTTAGATTAACGGAAATGCATAAACAGTATTACAAATGATTGGTTACGGAGATGAAACCCGAACACAACAGGAAGTAGCTCGCCTATTTTATGAGAAATTTCCTAATTTACCGCCCATATCTCAAAGAACAATAAGCAAAATAGAGAAGCAGTTTCGCGTGCTTGGTCATGTGGGACAGATACAAAAAGCAGCTGCCAATGCAATGAGTGATGAAGTCAAATTGAATTTAATGCTTGAATATCAGGAAAACCCACAAACATTGAGTAGGCAGGCATCCACTACATTCAGTGTTAGCCATACATCGATAGTAACCATACATCGATAGTAAAAGAAATAAAACGCAACCCTATAAAATGATACCTACTCAGAAGCTCATGGAAGCCGATTTAGATAGAAGAACTTATTTTTGTGAGCAAATAATGGACATGTTGGATAACAATTTCATCCAATTAAAAGACGTAGTTTTCTGATGAGTGTACTCTCAACGGTCATGCTAATCGGTAAAATTGCCGCTACTTGTCAACGGAAAATCCTCACTGGGTGAGAGAAGAACACACGCAATACCCTCAAAAGGTCGATGTTTGTGCAGGGATTGTAGGAAACCATATCATTGGTCCCTTTTTCATGGAGGTCAACTTGAATCGCGATAATTATTTGGCACTATTTCAAAGTGATGTCATTATGAGTTTAGCAAATTTATATTTTGATCCAGGGAACCCTCAAGTTCCAATGAATACAATATGGTTTCAGCAGGATAGAACACCACCACATTACCAAGTTAATGTCCGGCAATACCTCGATACAACATTTCCTAATCGGTGGACAGGGGGGCGAGGATCGATTGAATGGCTAGCGCGTTCACCTGATCTTTCATCATTCGATTTCTCTTCATAGAGATATGTAAAGAGAAATGTGTACAAAACTGAACCTTCATATTTGAACAGTTTTATTTGAGATTAGGATGTTGCCAACATGTTCGCGATGAACATTTCGAACATCTACTTCGTTAACGTCCATAGTTATTTTTCGTATTCTACATTTCATTACGTATTGCATATCATTTTAGTTTTTGAGTGTATTTTATCAAATTTCGGTAACCACATGATTTTAATTTATTTGATCCTGATTGTTGCAATAAATTTGGAAGCGATAACATTTTTAATAGAGAAAGAAGAGTCCTTTCAAACGACATATCACAAACCTATGCTTCCCATTTAAAAAATTGGGGTGGTACCTGTCATTCGAAGGGGGTTGAACTTAGGGGTGGCATTTTCACGTTGAATAATGTCAAATTATGATTTACATTTGACTTGTTTCGGGATTTTTTCTAAATGTGTACAGTAACCGAAATAATGAATTTATTTCATTTGGCTTTTACACATTGTATATGATTCCACTTAAGTCTCGCTTGCGTTTACGCAGTTATTTTTATTTTACTTGCATGAATCTTACTTATATAACAACTAAATTTAAGAATAATAACAAAGAATTTCATTCTCCATACTATCACTCCTCACTAGTATTGTGTGGTCGTTAATTATTTTATTTGCACTGTGCTAATCGTTCATGTATTCGTCTTTACCATGGTTTCTGAGCGGTATGCAGCAGTATACTCAAAATAAATCACAATAAAAATGCTGATACCTACCTAGTCAAAGTCCATAGTGTATATTTTAATCATTTTTGTTCATTTCACAGTTCGGTGTACCTACGAATAGACGTCAACAAGTACTCTCCTTCTGTTGTTCACTGATAGAGTCGTTTTTCACAGTGATTATCTTAGATTGAGAAGTAAGGTAGAGACGGAGATATTTACTTTCAGTTATGTCATACTTAGAATCAGTGGACGCCCTCTGTGTATATGTTTGAAGGGACTGATGGAACAGGTGGTAACATTGCCTGTCTATTCTATTTGTGAAGGATGAAATTTTCAATGATTCTTTCATGTACCTGGCTTCACATAAAGAACTGAACATTCTTGAGGATCATCCATCAGAATGAATTTCAACGTTTAAGTTACATAAAGATATCGATTTGGAAGCAAGTTACATGAGATCATATCTCGAATTCATCAATATCAACTGATTGTTAGAGTTTTCAGGATTTTTTTACAACAGTTTTATAGTTTTGCCAGCGTTAAAAGAAGAGAATGCATAACGTGAAGACCGCCTTGGACGTGTCTGCACTGTAAAACCTAGGTCTGAGGTGGCTACTGTTGGAGACTGTCGTAGTCCCGGGTCTCAAGAATCCGAAGAGTCTAGTTGAAAATAGAATTTCAATCTGGAGTTGCAAGGTTCTGTGCATTGAACCCTTGCGTAAGACCCTATGAGACTCCCGCCTCCGTAAGTCAAGAGCTAGTCACTCCAGCTGGGCACAGGTACTGCTTTTTTGCTTCGAATCAAGAAACGAGTACGGAAACGATACAAAATAGCTGCACTCTAAAAGGAGAAATAGATATTGGAATTTTTCAGTTATTATTGGAAGGAAACTCAGTTACCTCGATTTTTTTTATTTGTTGTGGTTATTGCTTGCTCACACTTGACAATTGAAAGGCCTGAGTCCTCAAAAATCCACAAAACTTTTATCAAATTTCAGAAAACTACCAGAAAATCCACTCCGACTTCTGGAATGTCCCAGAAAGTTCTTCTTCATTCAGATGAATATTTACTGTTCAGCAGGTAACATGGATCGTTCAAACTATACTCAACTATTGTAAGGTTAGGTTAGGTTAGGTCCAAAGTGGGTCAACGTTGGGTCAAAGTGGGTCAACGAAACTCAGCGTAATCCGCAAGGTTTCATTGGGGCTCACACCTATTCACACTCAACCAAATAAACCCAGCTTCGTAACGAAGCCAATTAATTTGTATGGTTAGTGGTGTTCCAGGTCAGATGGTAAGAGTATGGCTCTGCCGAACTCTTAAAACCTGATTCGGTTCCCGGCGGGACAGGCACAAAGTATGTGCTCTGCTGTTTCATCATTTCCCAAACTGAGAAGGGTTATTAGACATCGTAGTTCATTCCTATTATAGTCCAACAACTGTTTGGTATTAAGCTTCGAAGGGTGAATAAACGCCTTGGAATGAAGTAATCCTGGAATATTCTGCCAGAAGTCCATGAATTTTGTTGTCATCCAGGTGTTCAATGTTTGTTTGGCAAAGCCTAAAGCGATACCAATGACAGGTTCTGGTCCGATGAAGCTGCCTTCAGCACCCTCCTTTGCAAGGGAGTCAGCTTCCCCATTGTCTTCCAGGCCAATATGGCCAGAAATCCAGATCAGAAACAATCTCCTAACTCTTTCTATCGAGGAGAGTCGTTTTTGGCAATTTGCTACCAACTTAGATGTTGTTCGGTAGGAGCCAAGAGCATCCAACGCCACTTGACTGTCATTGACTTGTGTATGAGGTTGGATTCATACAATCTCTCCGCACACAATTCAACAGCGTAAATTTCCCACTTGAAATACAGTCGCCTAGGTTCCTAGGCAGGTTGATATCTCTGTTCTGGGCCTATGACTGAAAACACCTGCACCAGAACCGGAAGCTGATTTTGATCCATCTGTGAACCAACAACTATCTGCTCTTAATATTTTCTTCTCTCGGAGGATCCAGTCGTCTCTACTCGGGAACAGTACTTTATAAGACAGTTGGTAGATGACAGTTGGAGGCATAAAGTGAGAGGTTAGTTTCAGAATGCTATGACTTCTAGTGTCAACCAACAGTCTGTTGCACTCTGCATTAAATTGAGTTGTGCAATTGGCAATGTGCACAAGTCTATAGGCATTCCATCTAGCCTATTGTAGAGTAATTGTATTGTAAAGTCTGTTGCACTCTGCATTAAATTGAGTTGTGCAATTGGCAACGTGCACGAGTCTATAGGCAGTCCATCTAGCCTATTGTGAAGTCATTAATTGAATTTTTACCTGAATGATAGAATGCTAGGAACATCGATTTCATTGCAGTCATATTCCATTCATCGACTCCAAATCACAATATCTTCATATAGATAGGTTTTTATCGACTCCTAAGTGACAAAAAGTTATTTGTAGGCACTAGGCTGACAAATGATTAGTTTTAGTATTTCATTCAATGTTCATTTATAATTATTAATATTTCAACTGATATTAAACGACATTGTTTTGGATGGAACTCAAACTACCTGAATCATTTTTATTTTCTCTCAGGTGAATATTATCAACTACTTCTCAACTAACTCCTGGCCATTCATTGCCAACATATTGATGATAACTTTCTCAATATTACTTGATTGATTATTCATCACGTTCACCTTAGAGACATTGGGAATTCGTAATAGATTTCTAGTAGTTGTATGAATAGCTGTTGTGGCTAGATTTTTTATTTGTTCTTCTTTTATAGAATGAAACATTCATTTATTTTTTTTTCAATTGACGAAAATAGTATCCACCAACTGAATCTCAGAACTATATACAGAGTCTCAAATTGGCTTCATGATTTGTTTTCATTTCCATGTAGAACTATTT